GACAGAAAAAAGAGGGACTTACCCGGGAGGCGGTCGTCGCTCACTCCTCAACTCGAAGCCGAGACAACTGGCTGCAACCGCCGACCCAAAGCAACACAGGCTCGACGAGGCCCAGGGACATTCACAAGGTAACGAGCAGCCAGGACCCTGTTCGACCGCCAAAATCCCTGCGCCCGAATATCAGACCAAGACATATTCCCAAAGACGGCAGCAAGAGTCGCGAACTTACGAACGTCATGGGCACGGGGATAGACCGTAGGCTGGCTGGACTTAATAACCCTGCGGACGACCTGACAGACCTGAACCCGCGAACAGGGAAGAAGGGAAACCGGATCAACCCACAGCGCGTCCCCGGACACAGAAGCTGTGGCGCGCAAATAACGGCGAAGCGCCGAAACCGGACACAAAACATGATGCACCCCCGGCCTGACCAACCAAGCATCAACCACCCATGGACCCCTCCGGAACCAACCCATCCTCCGAATAGACAGTACGTTTTAATACTAAGTGTAATAAGTACATTTTCATACTTACGTATTTAGTACATAAATGCACTTACTGGGCTGTTCCAGTTACTGGCTGGCCTCCCTAGAATATTTTCCCCGAAACGAGGAATACGTTTTCTTTAATGTAACGGGTGTGCTGTTTTCTTTTCTTAATTTTTGCGGATACTCAGTCAATTTTGCTTATACTTGTATACTCAGCCCAAATTTTGCCTTTATAATTTAAGGTATCATGAAAATTGGCCGCTTTTGAGGCAATTAAGCATAGCAGAAGCACAGTCACTGACATTTAAAGGAAAGAAGGAATGAGATAACTATTTAAATTACGATGTAAATCCTTCTAATTTTTGCTCGTTCGTCAATGAGAACTGATGCCAACGCACTGGCCAATAAACTGAATAATACTGGCCAGTAAACAATAGATTGCTTGATTGGTGATTGATGAAGATTAAGCCACCCAAAAGGTGGCACAGCCATGAATAGCCCGTAAGTGGATGCCCTCTCTGAGCCATTACCAGTATCAGTAGATGATACTGGAGATCTGTGGAGGTGCGATCGCACCCTGCCTGACGGGAGATGTCTCCCGTGACTAAACAATAAACTGAACCTATCATAAAGAAGAACGACGACCATTGACCGTCTAGTGCTCCAACAGAGTGTAACTGTAATTAACAATGCTCAAGTCCTGACCAACAGTCAAATATTAATCCATCAGCCACGAAGCAGAGCGTCTCCCAACATCAACTCTAGTGCAGGGTCCTGTTGAAAAAAAAATCCGATTTTACATAGGTTTACCGTGACAGACACTAACAATAGTAGCCTTGAAGAGGAAAGGAAATCGGCAGATTGTCGAAGGTTTGCCTTTGCCTTGATATTTTCCAGCTATACAGTACTTTAAAAGAAAAGTTAACAGATGTTTGACTTTTATCCTTCTGTTTCACCAATATTTACCAACCATCGGGATGAATACTTATATGACACAAACTAGACATATTAGTATGAAAAAGAACTAACAATTCTCCAAATAGTAGGACGTGATTCAGTTTTCATGGATATATTCATTTTCGGGTGTTCGACTTCAGTTTGGAAATATGAAAAGGCACAGTTTGGTGCATTCAGATGATAAAGCTTTATGACATTAATTACAAATGGCATAAGAAAGAAGCAAATATTAGTTATATTTAGAACCTATAACAGAAAATAATTTAAGTAAAACAGTTGATATAAAAAGCTGTATATAATTAAAAGTTGTTAGTTTCATCGCAATTAATGTAAACATGTGATCATTCGTTCAAAAACAATAACACACGTGATCCTAGATTTTGCAGTCATCGGGAGAACAAATCCTTCATGCAAACTGCACCTACTATCAAGAAGAAGAAGATCCTAGATTTGGGCATGGTATGTAAAGTTTTCTCGGCATTTATGTAAATAATTCCTTCATATGTAATATTTTACTAATTGAAAAGAATGCAAATGTTTCATTGCTGTTTAGTTAAATAATTTTCAAAAACTTGTTGCAGTATTAAAGTTTTGCTTGTTATGTGTAGGAAGAATATATTTTACTGCATATTGGTATACACATTCCAATACGTTTTTAGTATGCAGCATGTTGTTTTTATCAATTATGTTTTTTATAATAAGCTTCCTAGAAGGTTGTAACAGATCCCATGAGCACCACACCAGAAACAAATACCTATTTGATATTCCAAGAGTACGACTTAGTTAAACTAAAAATGCTTTACAAATCAAGGGACCTCGAATGTGGCCTTCCCAATTATGTTAAAGACTGTACCTCTCCCAACCAGTTTAAGTTAAAAACTAAGTACTACCTAATTAACTCAATGTAACCTACCTCACCCCCAAAATGTCAACCCATCTCTTCTATTTAAAACAATGCTGTTTGTTGACCAAATTGTATTTTACTTTTTTTCTGCTATGTTTCACCCCCCCCCCCCTCGCTTTTTTTCCATTTTTTTCTTATTTTTTCTCAACACAATTTATACTTTAATCTCTTTTAGTATTAAGTTTTAGTCTTAGTGTTTTTCCTGCCCGAAACACTTTGCGTAATAGTGGCTTTAGGCATTGTATGTACTAGCTCTATCTATAAATCCATCTACTTTTGTATCTTACCTTGTATGTATGTACTTTACCTGAATAAATAATTGTATTTGTATTTGTAATAGGTAGATGATACAGAAAGCAGTACAATGTCTGTCACAAATCCTTTTACTGCGGCAGCATTAAGACCACAAGTCAGTAGAATAAAAATGCCTGGAAGATCGACCCCAGCCAGCATACTAGCAGGTAAAAAAACATTTAATCAGCTTTTGACAAAATTACAAATAAAGATGTGTTATGTTATGTCATTGTGTTAGGTTAGCCTAGTTATTATTTCCAATTTGTTTTTTAATTTGTATTAGTATGCAGTACTAGGCTATTGTAACAAATTGGAATGTACAACGTCCAATATTTTTTTGGCAGATTCGTTCTTGGCTCCTGAAAACTATCTTTACTTATCAGATGTACCAAGAATAACTCCGGACAATAATGATGGTATTGTTTATAAAATCATTTGATTATGGCCTTTATAATACATTAATATCAAAGTTTACAACCTTGTGTAATACAGTAAGTCTTTGTTTTAACAATAACAACAGAATTTTTTTTCTTTGCTCAGCATAATTGGCTTGAAATCCATCATCCCATTATAATTTCTATCACTTTGATCATTGGTTTAGACAATTACATCAAAACATTTAATGTAGCTTCTCTTGCTACAGTTATAATGTATCCTATTGAGAATGTATATTTTTTTAACAGAAGGTCTCCAGACACTAGCAATTTTAGCTAAAGAGAACCTGCATCGTGAATATTTGAAAATAAACTCAGCTCTCCAGAAAAAATGTGAATATATGAAGCGAAGTTTAAATATTGAGGACCTAAATTATCTGAAGCCTTCAAACAAGAAAGGAAAAGGAGAAAATTACTGCAGGATTATTGAAATAAATCAAACACAACGTTCAAACTTAACAGAAGGTAATTTTTTATTTAGTTATTTATTCCATGACCCATGTTTGTGTGTTCCTATATCATAGTATAATGATAGGTTTAATTGCTAGTGTAGATTTCATTTTGCCTCAGACTTAAAATTATTTAGGTTTTTGGTGTTTTATTATTCAAAATTTGTTTATAGATAATCCAAGGTTATAGTCAACTTCTCCTTTGAAAACAGATATTTACCTGAATGCCACAAACTCTAGTAGCCTAAAAGAGTACAGGAAGCCCGCGGCTTGTCGCAATTCCCTCATTTGCCTTTATGATCTTTTTTTGGGTATATTTAGAAATTCAGCATAGTTTTGGCAGTTACAGCTCTGGTGGGTAGGCAGTTCCATGTGTTAATAACCCTCTGGGTCAAAAATAATTTCCTGTTGTTAGCCCTACATTTTGGTTTGTTGAACTTGAAACCGTTGCTCTTTGTTTGAATTACATCTGAACCAAACTAGCCAAACTTTTTTTGATAATGTCATTGACTGCTTCATATCTGGTTGCAATCTTTCCCTGTGTCTTATGACAGATTAGGCCATGGCTGCCATATTGGTCTGCCCTTGCATAGCCGCAAATACACCGGTGTTCGGTGGAGATAGGGGCAGCGATGGTCATAGACAGCAAAAAAATGTAGATAGTTTACAAATTAAAAATAGATAAAGTGTTGTGGAATTACCATACTTAAAGGTTGATTTTCTGCCAAACAGCCCTTCTGCCTGCTTCTCTTTCACCTCCACACATTCAAAGTTCTGACTTCTCAACTAGTGTACCAACATATACTCAAACATATTTACCAGCTGCAGAACAAACACCAAAATCATTGAATTCTGGTACGTCCCTATTTGAACTATGTAATGTAATATAATCTTAGTACCTAGTATCTACTATATATATATATATATATATATATATATATATATATATATATATATATATATATATATATATATATATATATATATATATATATATATATATATAAATATATATATATCATAGTCTAACTAACACATTACTGAAAGCTTTCAGTTGTTCTAGATGCTTATATAATATGTATAAAATACACTTTTATTTATTACATCTACTTGCTCTTGAAGATTTTCCTGACTAATTTAGAATCCCATATTTCAAAGTACTTGCTGCAGAACTGGAGGAAATTTATGATTCTCAAGCAAGCATTTCTGATTGGCAAAAAAGAAGAAAAAATAGCGAGATTAAATGGGGAGAACGTAGGTCAATGTTGTTTAGCTGGACATTGTCGAAGTTGGGTGTTCCAGATAAAGGTAAATAACATCTTTAGTGTGTAATTATGGATAAATTTCAATGTAATTATGAAATGCATGATTAATGTCAATCTCTGAATACACTAAGATGTTTGTCATTTTTAAACTTGGTATACAATATTTCTAAATCCAGTATTACCATTCAAAGTACATAATTACATTATTTTTTGGAAAACCAGGCAAATGTTGTGTGCAATGTAGAAGTTGTGAGGCAAGCATAAAATGTGAAGACTGCTTTCATTTTTTGTGTCATAAATGTGATCAGCAGCAGCATTTTGTAATGCCTTTCCACCAGCGATTCTGCTGGAAAAATGGGTTCTTCGAGCCTTTAGACCCAACACAAACTGTGTGTTCAGATGGGAATGTCATTCACTGGAGTAAGTAATGTACCTGTAGTCTGTTTCTTATACTCTCAATACAATACAATACAATACAATTTTATTTAGGTAAGGTACATACATACAATAAATATTTACAAGGATTGTTTAACTTATAGGTATAGCTAGTACATACAATGCCTAAAGCCACTATTACGCAAAGCGTTTCGGGCATGATAAACTTAAATGACAAGCTTAATACTAATTGAGCATAATGAGTAGAATGAAAACAAGAAATGAAAACATAGATGAAAAAGCAGCACAAATACAATTATGTCGACAAACAGCGCTCTTTAAAGAAAAAAAAGACATTGGTTGACAATAGAAGGGTAAGGTAGGTTACAGGGAATTTATTAGGTATAGCTTCGCTTTTAACTTAAACTGGTTGAGAGAGGTACAGTCTTTAACATGGTTGGGAAGGTCATTCCACATTCTGGGCCCCTTGATTTGTAGAGCATTTCTAGTTTAATTAAGTCGTACTCTAGGAATATCAAAACTGTATTTATTTCTGGTGTGATGCTCATGGGTTCTGATACAACCTTCTATGAAGCTTTTGAGATCAGGATTGGCATTATAGTTTAGCGTTTTATATATGTATAATACACATGAGAGAATGTGCAGTGACTTAATGTCTAACATATTCAGAGATTTAAGTAGGGGTACCGAGTGATGTCTGGGGCCAGAATTGGATATTGTCCTAATAGCAGCTTTGTGTTGAGTAATTAAAGGACGTAAGTGATTTTGGGTAGTAGAGCCCCAAGCACAAATACCATAGTTGAGATATGGATAGATAAGGGAGTAATAGAGAGTCACCAGGGCAGGGCGTGGTACATAATATCTGATCTTAGAAAGAATGCCCACAGTTTTTGAAACTTTTTTTGATATGTTTAGAATGTGTCCCTGGAAATTAATCTTGTGGTCAATGAGAATGCCAAGGAATTTGCCATCTAATTTGTTACAAATTTGGGTATTGTTTATTTTGAGATTTATTTGATTAGAGGATTTATTGCCAAACAGAATATAAAAGGTTTTGTCAATGTTAAGGGTGAGTTTGTTGGCAGTTAGCCACAGATGGACTTTATTTAGCTCAGTATTTACTGTGGCATTTAGAGCAAGGGAATCAGGACTGGAGTAAATGAAGGTTGTGTCGTCAGCAAATAGAATTGGTTTGAGGTGTTGGGAGGCATTTGGAAGGTCATTAATGTAGATGAGAAAGAGGAGAGGGCCAAGTATGCTGCCCTGGGGAACACCAATGTTGATGGGTAGGGTGGGAGAAATTGTATTATTCACAGAAACATATTGGAGCCTGTCAGTAAGGTAGGATTTGAGGTATTGTAGGGAGTGTCCTCTGACTCCAAAATGATGTAATTTAAGAAGAAGGTTTTGGTGGTTGACAGTGTCAAAAGCTTTACGCAGGTCCACAAACAACCCAACAGAGAACTCATTTTTATCAAGAGCTGTATGAATCGAGTTAAGCATACTAATAAGTGCATCGTTAGTGCTTTTTTGGGAGCCCGCGGCTTGTCGAAATTCCCCCATTTGCCTTTATGATCTTTTTTTGGGTATATTTAGAAATTCAGCACAGTTTTGGCAGTTACAGCTCTGGTGGGTAGGCAGTTCCATGTGTTAATAACCCTCTGGGTCAAAAATAATTTCCTGTTGTCAGCCCTACATTTTGGTTTGTTGAACTTGAAACCGTTGCTTTTTGTTTGTATTACATCTGAACCAAACTAGCCAAACTTTTTTTGATAATGTCATTGACTGCTTCATATCTGGCAATCTTTCCCTGTGTCTTATGACAGATTAGGCCATGGCTGCCATATTGGTCTGCCCTTGCATAGCCGCAAATACACCGGTGTTCGGTGGAGATAGGGGCAGCGATGGTCATAGACAGCAAAAAAATGTAGATAGTTTACAAATTAAAAATAGATGAAGTGTTGTGGAATTACCATACTTAAAGGTTGATTTTCTGCCAAACAGCCCTTCTGCCTGCTTCTCTTTCACCTCCACACATTCAAAGTTCTGACTTCTCAACTAGTGTACCAACATATACTCAAACATATTTACCAGCTGCAGAACAAACACCAAAATCATTGAATTCTGGTACGTCCCTATTTGAACTATGTAATGTAATATAATCTTAGTACCTAGTATCTACTATATATATATATATATATATATATATATATATATATATATATATGTATATATATATATATATATATATATATATATATATATATATATATATATGTCGTACCTAGTAGCCAGAACTCACTTCTCAGCCTACTATTCAAGGCCCGATTTGCCTAATAAGCCAAGTTTTCCTGAATTAATATATTTACTATATTTTTTTCTTATGAAATGATAAAGCTACCCTTTTCACGATGTATGAGGTCAATTTTTTTTTATTGGAGTTAAAATTAACGTAGATATATGACTGAACCTAACCAACCCTACCTAACCTAACCTAACCTATATATATAGGTAAGGTTAGGTTAGGTAGCCAAAAAAAGCTAGGTTAGGTTAGGTTAGGTAGGTTAGGTAGACGAAAAAACATTAATTCATGAAAACTTGGCTTATTAGGCAAATCGGGCCTTGCATAGTAGGCTCAGAAGTGAGTTCTGGCTACTAGGTACGACATATATATATATATATATATATCATAGTCTAACTAACACATTACTGAAAGCTGTCAGTTGTTCTAGATGCTTATATAATATGTATAAAATACACTTTTATTTATTACATCTATTTGCTCTTGAAGATTTTCCTGACTAATTTAGAATCCCATATTTCTAAGTACTTGCTGCAGAACTGGAGGAAATTTATGATTCTCAAGCAAGCATTTCTGATTGGCAAAAAAGAAGAAAAAATAGCGAGATTAAATGGGGAGAACGTAGGTCAATGTTGTTTAGCTGGACATTGTCGAAGTTGGGTGTTCCAGATAAAGGTAAATAACATCTTTAGTGTGTAATTATGGATAAATTTCAATGTAATTATGAAATGCAGGGTCTGAAGCCATATTGGCAAGGGCTAATTATATTGAGTTTGGCTAGATATGAGTAAAGCTGCTTATAGATTAGTTTTTCAAAAAAATTTGACAAGTTTGGCAGGATAGATATAGGTCTGTAGTTGTTAACATCTGTGAGATTACCACATTTGTGGACAGGCGTTACTCTCGCTTTTTTTAGAATATCTGGGAAGGTTTGGAGTTCAAGTGACTTGTTGAAGAGCAAAGCAATAGCAGGGGCTAAAGATCTGGAGGTTTTTTTGTAAATTAAAGTTGGTATCTCCTCAAGGGCACCAGACTTGGTTTTAAGGGAAAGGATTATCTCATTGACGTCAGTGGAATTAATAGGCTTTAGGTACAGAGACTGTGGATAGTTACCTGAGAGATAGTCATTAATGTCTGTACTGGAAGATGGAATATCATTGGCAAGGGATGAACCAATAGAAGAGAAGAACCTATTGAACTCAGTAGCAGAATCAGAGGCTGAAAGCTGACCATCGTTATTAGACAGGAGAGTCGGTTTGATATTTAAAGACTTCTTTGATCCCAATATTTGAGAAATTGTTCTCCAAGTTTGTTTAATGTTGCTCTTTATTTGGGTAAATTTATCTTCGTAGTATTTAGTTTTGGCTCGTCTAATTATCTTAGACAGCAATAATGAGTAATTCTTTGAGAATTCTTTGGAGACAATTCCTAACCTATACTTCTTCTCAAGGTCATGTTTTTTATTAATAGATTTAAGTATTCCCTTTGTAAGCCAGGGATTGTTAAGCCTTTTGGTTGTGACTTGTTTTGTAAGCATAGGACAGTGAGTATTATAAAGGCTAAGAGTTTTTTGAAGAAAAGATTGTACTGCAAGGTTGATGTCCACTATGTTACCTAACTCGGACTCCCAGTTGACATTATCAGCAGCAGTTATAAAATTGTCTATAGCAGTTTCATTGTGTAGTCTAAAACGTATCACTCTTGACTCAAGAGGTGGTTTGCTAATGTTAGTTAAGAGAAATGTGGGGTAATGATCTGTAGTGCTATCGGTGATTATACCTGAAGTAAGCGGAGAGGTTATGTTTGTCCAGATGTGATCGAGCGTCGTGGCAGTGCTATCAGTGATTCTAGTAGGTCTAGTGATTAAGGGTATGAGGAAGCAGGAATTCATACAGTTGAGGAAGCTAACAGCAGTGGGGTGTTCAGGCTCGCAGAGGTCAGAGGTCTCTCATTTCTATCCTGAACCAAGCAGTGTTTTAAAATTTTATTTAGTTCATGTAATTTTTTTAGTAGTTTTTGTATTGGTCATTTTCCTCATTAATTATTGATTACCTCATTAATTACAGATTTTTAGTTAAATAAATGAATTTTTATTTGTTAATAAATATAAATCTTTCATGTAACTCCAGTTAATGCTAAAAAAATTATTAGTAATTTAAAATGTAATGATTGAAACATGTATTTATTTTGCTGCATAGCTGATCTTGTAAATTTAATTGTTACCAGAGCCTGTTGTACCAGCACATCCACCTAATTCCTGCCCGAACTGCAGTGAGAGCAAGTTCACAACTTTAAGCTCCAATAATTTGTACATCTTTGTAACTTTAAGTGGTAGGTTACTTTAAGAAACATTTATTTGATACTAGTATTGGTAGCTGGCATTGCTCAGGTGACCCAGGCTACAGTCTTCATCAATATAACCATTTATACTTCACTCTCTTTACCACTGTATCTTCACTTATGAAGACGTATTTATATCACATACGTATTTATAACCATACAGAGAATTGTTTATGGGTTGGTTTACACATATATTGATAGCCACACTTGAATCCCTTGCCAAATAAAATTGTTTTACTTCAATTTTTTTTATTTTTTTGTGGGGGGCAGGAAGGTATGATCTGTATACCCCAATATTTAGGTGCAAGTGCGGATATGTAGATGAAGAACTTGGGAAAGCCATGCACCAGTCTGGTTTTTATTCAACTGGAAGAAATAGTAGCACTTTCTACAGCATAAATCTATTGGATTCCTGGCATTTTCTCAAGAGAAGCAGCCCTGGAACTTCTCTTCAGGCATTAGTTAGTGCACTGGAATTATTTGGTGCTTGTCGAGGGCGTGTAAGTTTTCATACCATTACTGTTTTAATAGTGCAAGTATTAAATTGGTGTATAAACTTAAAAACTAAGTTTGTTACTAAGCAAATGCATTGTCATTATTTAAGAAATAGGGTTAAATATTATTAAATTAATAAATAGCATGAATATTCTAAATATATATTTTACATATGTCTAATATCATAAGAAATGGAAATGGATTACCAATCTTTAACAATTTCTCTTTTTATGTAATGCTCATGTAAGTTTATTTTCATTTCCTGCAGGTATTTATAGTCTGTTGCTTAACATGCCACTGCTTGGCACTTTTTGATAATTACTTACACACATTTTACATCTTAGCATGGTCCCATCAATTTTGAGACAACAAAAAGAGTCTTCTTTGTATGGCGTTTCCATCAGTATGAACTTGGGAGAATAAAAGGAGAATTTGACAAGGGGTGCCCCTGCATGTGATACAACACCTGTGGCTGTACATATTGATGGCAACAAGAAACTGTATCGTTACAACAAAGTTGGGACGTAAATATTCAAGTTAAAATATTTAATGCTGCTCATTATTGTTAAGGTATAATGTAAGGTGTAGTAATATGTTTGTAGTACTATAAACACAGCACTGTATAATATTTATATAGCGTCATGCAACTTTTAATCAGATTTTTTTTATTGTTAACTGATTACACCTTTATTACTTGCCTTTCAACTTCAGTTGAATTTTTTTATTTGGACTAAGGCTTTACTAATTAAAAAATATTTATTTCACTATATACATTCATTTAGAATAGGAGGGATTATGATGTGAATGCCAGCTTGGGTAGTTGAATTACTTTTAAGTGAAATGATGTTTAACTGTCATCAAAATGTCTCACACAATGAACATTCATTAATTTAATATCATTCCAGAGGGATCAGAAACTCATATTATTCTGGTGGTATCTTCGCTTGTTACAAAGAAGTTCAAGATCACGTTTCCACTATTCAGAACCTTAAAACTCAAGTAAGAATATTTTTACATCTGTTCGAAAGCCTAAAAATAGGTTTTTAAATAGAAACCTAAGACCTAATACCAGGCTTTTACCCATACAATATTTGAAGAGTACCTTTATATATTAGCTTGAGACATTATCAATAATGTATATTAATTGGACGGTTCCTAATATAACTATATCATGTTCAAAAAACTCTATAAAATACATGGAATGCATATTGAATGATGAAAAATATTACATAAAAAAATTACATTTATATATGACTAATATATATATATATATATATATATATATATATATATATATATATATATATATATATATATATATATATATATATATATATATATATATATATATATATATATATATATATATATATATATATATATATATATATATATATATATATATATATATGTTTCATTGAATATGACCGCATATTCTGTATTTATTATTTTCTGGTTTAGGGCTTCTATCCCTCTAACTATTTTCTTAGCATCAGGGCTTAATTTGTTTGAAAGAAAACCTGCTGCCAGTATACACCAATATATATATATATATATATATATATATATATATATATATATATATATATATATATATATATATATATAATTTTACTTTTGTCCAACAGAGTAGCCATATGTGTGGAGTGTCGACATTGAAAGCTGCCAAAAATAAACCTGTTTCATTTAGAAGTTTGGATGAAACCGGCATAAGCATGGCTTCCTGTCGACATGGAACTATTCTTGCTGCATTAAATATGTATCAGGGAGAGCTATACAGTTATGCCCACTTTTTGCAAATGAACCGTTTACAAAATGTGTCCTTCATATGCCAGGATATCATCTGTAAATACTGGCCTTAAAGATTTCATCAAGAGAACAGAAGTTCTCACTTGGGCAAGGAAAGCCTTTTTTAGGAGTCCTACATGCCAAAGGACATTCTTGGTATCGTCAGGTAAATAATCTAATACTGTAATAATATTTTGACTTCGTTTTACTGTAAGTTGGAAAATATAATATCTTTTAAACTCTTATATGTAAGGATTTATCTATGTTAAATGCAAATTGTTAATACAGTAGGTAGTTTTTAACAAACGTTATGCTATTATGTCAAAGGTTTTGTATGGAGGGCGGTGGCAAGAAGGAAGTGGCCTGACATCTGGGGAGGAGGCAGAGCAAGTATTTTCCTACCTTTCAAGATATAACAACAACACTAAGAACATGCTTAAAGCTGGTATGTGTTAATTTTTGTTTAATCTAGTTCTAAATTTTGTACCTTTCAATCAAATCAGTACAATGGTAATATTTGATGGTTATATATATCCAGATAATGTTATAAAAAATATAAGAATATAGGAAATTGCAGAAAGGCATTTTGGCTCATATAAAGTAGCATTATACTCATATGCAACCAACATATACATGTATAATCCTTGTTTGAAAAATCAAGTTGTCCCTGTTTTTATGCTTTCTTTCACATCCTGATATTTTTAATCTTATTACTCTACCACTATTTTTGAGCTCTTTGTTTCCTCTGAAATAACAATTAATTCATTCCACTTAAGACAGCATCAATATCATCATCCTTTTACTTTCCAATCAGTATTTTTACTTTCCAATCAGTATTTTGAGACACAGTATTAAGATGTCAATGAATAACTAAATTTATTTCCACAGAGCGTACAGAAGAACTGACAGAGGGGGCACTCTTTTGGAATAACAGAAAAATTAATGGAATGCCTCGGGCATTAGTTGCCAGATTCAGAAAGGTATTATACGCGCGCGCGTCAACCCAACCATCTCTTTCCTGTAATATCTCTGTTGCTCAATCATAGAAACTGAGTAAATTCAATACAGAGGATCTTCCAGATCGAAAACCATACTGTCTGTCTGAAATTATATCGTTTCTCTCCAGGTGTTCTACCCATTTAGTTTTAATTATTTTTTCCAATATTCCAATTCCAATTTTTTCCAATAATGTGTGTGTGTATGTATATTTGTGTTGTTGAATATGACCGAAAGTCAGTCTTTCTGCCCCTCTCCTTACTGCTATTGTTGTTTCTCGCATCTTTGTATTGCTTGTATGTTTGGGCAATTTCTGTTGAACAAATCCCCTTTTCCTAGTTCTGCATCTCTGCTTTAGTATAAATTTTGTTGTGCCATTATCATATATTTCACAAAACTTGACATACATCTCATTTACTTCATGTCCTAACAGCAAGTGTTTGTCAAATTCCTTAAGGAAATATCTGAGTTCCCCATAATGACCTCTCCACAAATCAGGTTTTTCAACTGCTTCAAGCTCATTTTCTTCCAGATTATAATGCACTGCATACTTTATTCCCAAAAAGACATGGTCACTTTTACCCAAGTGACCAATGTCACTTGGGTAAAAGGAGGGAGGTACTGAAAGGAGGAAAAGGGAGGTACCAAAGGAGGGAGGTACTGAATGATAAATATATCTTCCTCTTTCCTGGTAAATATAATATCCAGCATGGAGGGAACATCCCCTTCCCTCATCCTCTTAGCTTGTATAACATGTAGAAGCATGAATGTTTACAGGATGAGGTTTACGAAATTTTATATATATATATATATATATATCAAGTTTGTGTGTGTAATTTATATAAACAAATAATTAAATATTAATTTTGGTAATATCTTTTCAGGGAAAACTTGCAAGTACTATTTGTATACAAGAGGGGCAACAAGAGGCAGAGGATGTCTAAAAAAATATACAAGTGTTTATCCTCACACTCTTGATATATGGTCTTCTCTGGTCTCCTCTTTATTTTCTCTCCTCACAAATGTTCCTTTTTTTTAATTTCTTTTACGTTTCTCTCCTGTTTTTCTTGTCTCTTTTTATCTCTCCTTTCCTCCTCTCTTCTAACATCTTTCGTTTTCTGTCTCTTCTAGCTTCTATCTTCCTTTACTTTTTACATTTGTGGTATTCACTTACGTCATTTTTATCTTGTATATTTTTCTTATCTTGTCTTTCTCTTCCCCTTCTCTTCAATGTTCTCTCATTTCTCTCTCCCCTCTCTGTTGTTTCTGTTCTGTCTTCTCTCTCCTTGCCTTAATTTTGTTCTGTCTCCTCTCTTCTTGCATGGTGCTAACATGAATATTATACTTGACTGTGTTAACATTAACTTGTAAATTTTTATTTTTAGTTAATTAGTTCTAATCTTTAAGATTTTACTTTACAATTACAATTTACACTAGAAAAACTATAGTGTTATGTTATATAGTATATAGTATATACTCAGGAAATTTTACTTTATTTAGTTTTAAGTAACAGTAACTGCTTGTAACGTCAGACTAATCTCAGCATGACATGAATCACAGCCTGCTTGATCATAAATTGTTTGAAGGTGCTTAATTGTCAAGTTCTCTTGAATAATATATATTTTGTCTTTCTCTTTCTTTTTTCTTTCTATCTTTCTTTTTCTTTCTCTTTCTTTCTCTTATTTTCTTTCTTTCTTTTTCTTTCTTTTTCTTTCTTTCTCTTTCATTTTCTTTCTCTTTCTTTCTCTTTCCTTTTCTCTTTTTCTCTTTCTTTCTTTCTCTGAAAGAAAGAAAGAAATCTTTTCTTTCTCTTTCTACGTGAATATTATACTTGACTGTGTTTACATTCACTTGTAGATTTTTATTTTTAGTTAATTAGTCCTAAACTTTTGATTTATAGATTTTTATTTTTAGTTAATTAGTCCTGAACTTTTGATTTATAGATTTTTATTTTTTAGTCATAGAAAAACTATAGTGTTATATGTATACTCGGGAAATTTTACTTGTTTTAGTTTTAAGTAACAATAACTGCTTGTAATGTCAGACTGATCTCAGCATGACATGAATCACAGGCTGCTTGATCACGAAATCTATTGTGTTCACATATTGCATATATAGGTTTTTAAATTTTTACTTTTATATTCTGTTAGATATAGTCTATATATTTTGAGCTATTACATATATTTTGTTGTATTACTCATTCTTAATTAAATAAATATAATATTTTAATTATCTTTTTGTACCCTATTTATTTGTAATTTACACATACATATATAGGATGTCCATTTCTTTCTCAGATATGTCTTCTTTCTTTCTTTCTCTCCCTTTCTATTTCAGATATGAATTAAAAAATAATTATACCCTAATTTACCCTAAACGTTTTAATGTAGGTAATTAAAAGATTATAAAAAAGTTTTTAGAAATGTTAATTATTTACGTTCTAAGGTCGTATATAAAAGTTCTCAAAAAACATTTTCTAAACATAATTATAAACGTGCTGAAAACAATGAAATGTGGTTTTTAGGACGTTTTAAAAACGTGAAAATGTTTGCTGGGTAATGATATTGGACGAGTTAGGAGTGTAACACTGTAAAAGTGTTTGGTTTAGTTTATTTAAAATATATATAGAATATGAGTCAGAGACAGGAATTGTGAAAGGCGCCAGGTTGTCGGCCTGAGATCTCACACCTCAAAGCGTTAATGACCTCAAGTGACCTGAGGTCAGATCATGCGAATTTCACCTTGCTTCTACTAATCTCTTAATTGGAGCCTGGTAGCCTTCAAACATGCTGACGTTTAAGGAGTGGCTTGGTAGAGTGCCTCAGGCTATCTACTTGTGGGCAGAGTTAGTTACTAGGCTCCCCAGTATATACTCGGAGAACTATCGATTCGAGAGCATTAGCATTAAGCAATAGGAGACCAGCCAGCGGAGCAGAGCAGAGGCCAGCCGTCGAGATAGGCCGTCACCAGACGGGGGGTGACGCTGCCTGAAAATTGCAGACTCCCCCCCCCCCCCTCTCTATTCAACTTAGACTCAGTCCTCGGTGAGTTGTGTGATGATCAGGTGACTTGGTCGTGTTTTACAAGTGTTGTGTGATGATCAGGGGCAGTCAGTTGTAGTGGTCTCAGATTCTTGGAGGATGACTCACTTTGAATATTAATCTTTAACATTTTAATTGGATTGCTTAAGTTATGATACTTGTCATGTTCACAGAAAATGGTACCATCCGTTTTCTATGTGCGGCGGCTGAGACGCCAGAGAGAGTGGAGGTAAACAATAGAGCGTACAGGACGCCCGCCAAGCTTGGTAGCTACTAGTCATGTAATCATATTAAGTATTAAAGTCAGTAACCAAGTCATGACTTTACATCAACCCTACAACCAAGACTTCCTCAGTAACACACAAACACCACATTGGCGACGAGGATGAACTGTGAACGCAGGTATTTGTTCAGTTTCAAACACAAGGGAGAAGCATGCTGCCTGGAGGAGGAAGAGAAGCTGTGAGCGCCATACCCGATGCTGTATGCTAACCGATGCTCCAATGCTGTGTGCTAAACGATGCTGTGTGCTAACCGATGCTGTGTGCTACCCAAGCTGTGTGCTACCCAAGCTGTGCTGAAGAAACTGTACTGAGGAATCTGCCGACGTTGTGTACGAAACGACGCTTTGATGTGTACAAAACCTGATGTTTTGGTTACGAAACGACGCTTCGTGCTACAAAATTCATCACACTGAACTAACTGCTGCACCAACTGCTGTACCAACTGCTGTACCAACTGCTGCTGTACCAACTGCTGCTGTACCAACTGCTGTGCCAACTGCTGTGCTGCTGCTGTGAGTAGGAACAACACATGTACACAAGGGCTAGGTAAGAAGTCAGTTGCTGCTATAGTGTGCACTGTTGTGAACTTTTGCATTAAAATGCTTGTGTGCTTTGCAAAATTAAAGTAATTACAGTGAATTCTTGACTAACATATACAGTGCAGTAAGTGTTTAATATTCTGAGGAACATTTAAGTGATAAGTTACATTTATTCAGTAAAAATTGCAAATATACCTCAGTTTCCTGCATTTGATCCTGACTGTGACCAGACAAACCTGTCACAGAGGTGGGTCAAATGGCTTAAAAAGTTTGAAAATTTGTTGATAGTTTCTGACATCAAAAGTACTGAAAGAAAGCGTGCCTTTCTACTTCATTATGCAGGTGATAGAGTTTGTGACATCTTTGACACACTGAAAGACACTGGTGGTGCCAAAGATTATGACACTGCCAAAGCCAAACTAACAGAGCATTTCAAACCAAGGCAAAATACTGCAATGGAAATTATGCATTTCAGGAGAGCAAAACAACTCTCTAATGAAACTGTGGATCAATACCACACACGTCTGCAGGGTTTAGCAGCCCATTGTGAGTTTGCTGATGTTGACAAAGAAATCAAACAGCAAATAATTGAAACATGCACATCTACACGTCTCCGTCGAAGAGCTCTAGAACTTGTTGATGATGAAAGTTCTCTTACCAAGATACTGGATATGGCTCGTCGAATGGAAGATGCTGCACGTGATGCTCGTGTCATGGAGTGCAGTGCCAATAACGGTTCTGCCACTGTTACTAACAGTGATGAGGTATGTAAGGTTCAGGGAGGACATCGTAATCAAAGAAGATATCATGGCAAACCTAACAGTAAATTTAGCCGAGAACCACGTCACAACTGGGGTCAAGGAACAAGGCTCAAGCAGTCACAACGACCCACATCAGAGGGTGTCAACAATAAATGTTACAATTGTGGAGGAGACTACCCACACCAAGATAATGTTTGTCCTGCTCAAGGTAAGAAGTGCTATGAGTGTGGAAAACTAGGTCATTTTGGTGCTATGTGTCGTTCCGCACTAAAGAAACCACAGTCAATGAATAAAAGCACTGTACGAGGATCAGGTCATAGGGGTCGAGGTGGTAAACACAATATTGCACCTCATATCCAGAATGTTAATAATGTACAAGACAACATTTCATTACAACCAGTCTCAGATGACAGTGAATGTGATTATACTTATGGAGTACAAGCAATCACAGAATGGAATGATCTTCCAAACAACCCAGAGACATGTGTATACATTGCTGGTATTTGTCTCAAGGTTCTCATTGACACTGGATCAAACATTGACACCATGGCTGAGTGCCACTATGAAAAATTTAGAAAACAGTTCCCAAAGCTAGAAAAATACAATGGTAAAGCCACTGCCTATGCTTCAAAGGTAGCCTTGCCAGTGATTGGAACTTTCACTGCAGAGATTAAGTCAAAGAATGCAATGCTCATTACTACATTCCATGTTGTTAGGAATGCAAAGGAGTCTTTACTCAGTTACAAGACTTCAACCAAATTGGGGCTACTTCAGCTTTCTAATGCTGTAGCAGTGGAATCTGCAAACAATGTTGATGGTATTGTTGCTGAATTTTCTGATCGATTTAAATCCATAGGTTGTTATACTGATAGCAAAGTACATCTGCATATCAACCCAGATGTAATTCCAGTTGCCCAACCACATTGCCGACAACCATTCCATACTCGCAAGAAAGTCGATGCCGAACTGGATAGGCTGATAGAACTAGATATCATTGAACCAGTAACAGGCCCAACACCATGGGTAAGCCCAATTGTCACTCCACCAAAGCCGAAGAATCCAGATGAGATACGCATTTGTGTGGACATGCGTGTTCCCAACAAGGCAATAATGCGTGAACGCCATCCTACACCCACTGTAGATGATATGATCTACCGCTTGAGTGGTGCAACTGTATTCAGCAAGTTAGATTTAAACAAGGGCTATCATCAGCTTGAACTTGATGAGGAGAGTCGATTCATCACAACGTTTACGACACATCGAGGTCTGTATAGGTACAAGCGCCTGAGTTTTGGTATCAACAGTGCTGCCGAGGTATTCCAGCACATCATCAGCCAGGTATTGCAAGACATACCTAATGCTGACAACATGTCTGATGACATCATTGTTTATGGCCGTACCCAAGCTGAACACGACAAAGCTCTTCGTGCAACATTGCAACGCTTACGAGAAAAGAATCTGACGTTAAGCCGAGCAAAGTGTGAGTTCAATCAACATAAAATTGAATTCTTTGGACATGTACTTAGTGACAAAGGTCTGTCTCCAGATCCTAAGAAAGTTGCAGATATCAAGAATGCTGCACCCCCTTCAACGTCCACTGAAGTACATAGTTTTCTGGGAATGGCAAACTACTGTTCTCGCTTCATTCCAGATTTTGCTACCATTACGAAGCCTCTACGTGAGCTCCTGAAGAAAAATGCATCATGGTACTGGAGCGATATCGAGCAAAATGCATTTGATGCTGTGAAAGATGCACTAGTAGAGAATGCGACTGCTGCGTA